GGTTTAGGGTTTGGCGTTTAGAGTTTAGGGATTAGGGTTTAGGGATTATAGGGCTTACGGATCAGGGTTTAGGGTTTAGGGGTACCATTTTGGGGGGGTGCCTGTGAAAAGGACGAAAGTATTTTGGGGTCTATCTTGCGATGCCCTTGTAATTGGAAAATGCCAGTTAGGGTATGGTGTCTCGGCTTTCTGGCTGTTGAGATTACTGTAGGGCCTTGAATTGCGAATCTGGAAACGAGTGGAAGGTGCGCATGGGGAGACAGGCATTTCCTTCATATAGATTCCCCAACCTTATCCTTGAGGCATTCTTCTGGGCCCCCGCTACTTTTGAAAATATGTTGCTGCTTAGGGCGTCTTTCTCTGGCTTTGCTCAATCAGTTTTCGGGGCTATTAGAAATTCACGCACTAAAGATCTACTGGCTTCCGCAGGCTTTCAGTAGATTATCTTTAGACTTGAGATTTCCCGGTAAGTCTCGCTTCCTTCCGGCTTTTCCAAGTGAAAAAAAGGTGAGATCCCAGCCGAATCCCAGCCATGGCTTTGCTGAAGATGCCACTTTTCCCCAAAACGGAACCTCCGAAAGCCCAAGTCAAAAGGACAGTAGTCTTGGCAGGGTCTTTTTCGGGGGTCCCTAAACCCTCAACCCCAAACCCTAGCCCAATTCTTTCGGAGGGTGCTCTGGTCGGTGCACCCGAAGGAGCCCCATCCCTGGCCCGGAGACGCTCCAGGACCAAATCTCCAGAAAACCTGACCAAACAAGGAAACGCCGAGTAGAAGGACATATCGAACATTGCGAAAATGTTGCTTTTTGCGGTACCCTTTCTGTGAAGAGCAGTAGTAGTCTAAGAAGCCCGAAAAAGACTACAATTGCGACAAACTACCATGCAGATATTGACTTGAGCAACGACAAAAACACAGTTTCATGTAGAAAGCCCTTTCCAAACCCTAAACCCTAAACCCTAACATGCCGAGGTCCCGGATGCCGTTTCTTGGTTATTGTTCATGAGCCTTTAGGGTTTAGGGTTTAGGGCTATACTTAGAATGTGTACCTGAAGCCAATGCAGGAATATTGTTGTATTCAACAATCTTTGAGTATTTTTGACTGTAGATTTGCAATGTACAGTAAGTTTGCGCAGTAATTCAACAATACTGTTAATGGAAGAAACCACAAGTCCCTGAAATCCCAGGATTTACAATAAGTTGTGGACCCTAAGTGGTGCAGGAAGTTTCCATTCAATGTTCCATGTTCATTTTCCTTTGATTCTACATAACTAATAAGACCTGACTCAATCCTATTCCAAGGTTCTTTGACAGAACCTTCCGCACTTCGAACAGCAGCTTCTTTACCTGCTTATGGCGAGGCAGTGCCTTTGTCAAGAACAGGACGTGCTCCTTTATCCCGATAAGGGGCTTAGAGGATTTTAGGGGCTATGTAGAGTTACATATATACATATATACGTATATACATATAGACATACAATATATCATATATGTCCCATTAAGGGGCTACATAATGATATACATGTAACCAAGTGTTTATATAGAGGAACCCTTGGGCTCCCTTACTAATTACCCCCCGCCTCCTTTTTAGGATTACCCCTTGATGAACCTTAGTTAGCCCTAGTTACCTTATTAACCGGAAACCATGGAAGGGGTAGCCGGTAGTATGGGGGGCAGGTAGTAGGGGGAACCCGTGAAACGGCCTGGAATAGAGAGTTTCTCAACGAGGCGGGCTTTTAGGAACCCTAGAGCTATACAGGGGTGAAATTATGAGGATATTTGGGGGTTTCCCAAAATAGGGGTACCTTTTTGGGGGGGTCCCTTTAATAAGGATCCTAGTAAGTTGAGGTCCCCTGATTTTGGGATACTACCATTTGGGGAATTACTGTAAGGGTTCATAGGGGTATGCATATCCTGGTTTAAGGTTCAGGGTTCGCGGCTTAGGATTTAGTGCTTTGGTCAGGGTTTAGGGGTAGATAAGGGTCTAATAGAGAGCCCATCACCCCTTACAGAAGAGATATGCCCTGCATCATATTATGATGTTGGATCCCTTCCTTAACTAAGGAGTGTTGTGTGAGCCCATATGAGCAGATACTTACTTCTAGAGGGTCAGAAGTCATTTATGGGGTCTGCATTGAGGGGCCATGCTAGGGTCGGGAGGCTCTTGGCTAGCTTGATGGTCAAGTACAGGCTGGCTCCCCAATCCCCCCTAAGACTCCCCAGTACCTACCCCTTGGACCCCCACCCCTCCCCCCGTTACAGTAAGGCTTGGTAGAGTAGGGCTCTGAATCTTGGGCTGGTTACCATGCTTGCTTGTTCTCCCCGACTGAAAGTCTCCCTTGTGCAATAGTGCAATACAGTGGAAAACTTGCTATTAGCGGATGGGGGTTTGTTTCTTGTGAGGGAGAGGGCATTAGTCTGTTTGGGATCCTGTTGGGTCAGGGCCTGAAGTGAGGGTATGGGCCTAGACCCAACTGCTAAGGGTTAAACCTTACGCCTAACCCTTACACCCTAAACCTTAAACCTTCGCTTTCAAATCTACTCCTTAACCCTCAACCCTGCAGAAGATTCATCTTTAGCCATAAACCTTAAATCCACAGCCTTTACCCTGCACTCTAGTCACCCGAAACGCGCACTCTGGATTTCTTATCTCTTAATCCTCAACCCTAGTCCAGAATAATCCATACCCTCAGCCCTAAACTCCAATTACGATAATGTTGGATTTCCCAACCACCCCGTCTGTACCAGGGCCCCCACCATGGCTTCCCCTAAATTAGGCCGATTTCGTACTAATCGAGGTTGATTAACTGGGAACCTGAGAGTGTGTGTATTTACTTTTATTGTTTTTTTGCGGGGCGGGGGGAGGGGCGGGGGGGTGCGCGGGCGGGTGTTTAGGAGAACCCAAAATCAAAAGGCCAGCGGTTTTTCACCCAGCGATAAAAGGTCTCGCTGAGTCGATCAACGCCACATTCACTGCCCTTTGGCCTATATTTCCTTGCTGGTGCTGAAGGTAGAGGGTTTTGTGCTGGGGCACCCTAAGCGTCCAGGTACCCAGGAATTGAAGAATTTGGATTTGAGCATTGGCAGTTCTAGTACAGGCCTTGGGGAAGTCTATGAGCAATGTGCTCTTGGACCTTAAGAGTTGCTGGTGCTTTAGGGGGAGGGGGGAGTTGAAACAAGCATGGAAGCTACTAGAATGCGGTTCCCCAAGCTCTGGTCCCCCTTTGATACCCTTAAATAGTAGGTGCCGTAGTATAACTTATGGCCAAAAGTAGTTTAGGCTTTCAGTGTCAGGGTGTTTGAGGCGCGTAGGAGTGAATCTTGGGGCTATTGTAACCCTAATCCCTAAACCCTAAATCCCTAAACCCCTAAACCCCTA